TAAAGCTGCTGCTTATTTGAAAAACAGGACATTAACAAATACTATTGTAAAGAAGACACCATATGAAATATTTTTCAATAGGAAACCATCTGCTAATGAATTGAAATTATACGGAAGTAGAGTGTATGTAAGAATACCAGAAGAAAAGAGAAAGTCGAAGTGGGATAAAAAGGCTGAATTTGGAATTTTACTTTGGTATACAGAAGTTGGATATAGAGTTTTGATGAATAACAGAATAATAGTTGCCAGGACATGTTGATATTATTGAAGAAGACATAATGTGTGTAGGTTGTGATGATGAAGATAAGAATGATGATACAAATAAAAAGAATGAACCTCAAGAAGTGTCGTGTGAATCGAGTAATGATAACTCCAAGGACAGTGTGATAAATGAAGATGAAACAAAAAGTGGAATGAGACCAAGAAGGCAAATCAAACCACCAGTTCGATTTCATGAAGAATTCGGGTACTACTGTGTTAGTGCAAATTTTTGTGATGCTACAGTTCCAGGTAACTTTGAGGAGGCGACAACATGCAGTGAGGCTGGACATTGGAAAGAGGCAATGGACAGTGAAATGAACAGTCTTGTTAAAAATAACACTTGGACACTAGTGACTAAACCAGAGGATAAAGCAATTCTAGATGTGAAGTGGGTATTCAAAAGAAAACCAGGTAATGTTTTTAAAGCTAGATTAGTGGTTCGAGGTTTTCAGCAAAAAGATAGTATTGAGGATACTTACTCCCCTGTCATTCAAGATGCAAACCTTAAAATTGTTACTTTCATATTCCTGTCAGTATAATTTAAATATTCATCAAATGGATGTTGAGACTGCCTTTTTAAATGGTTATGTTGTGTCTGAGGTTTATGTTAAACAGCCACAAGGCTATAATGATAATTCGAATAGAGTGTATAAATTAAAGAAAGCACTATATGGGTTGAAAGAAAGCCCTCGTGCTTGGTATGAGTGTTTTAACGAGTATATTGAGAGTCTAGGATTTCGTAGAAGTAAATATGATTATTGTCTTTATGTAAAATCTGAAAATGATGTATTTGTATATATTCTTTTATTTGTTGATGATTTGTTGATATGTTGCAGAGATACTCGGGTAATTAATGATATTAAGGAACAACTACATAAAAATTTAAAATGAAGGATTTAAATAAAGTAAAAAGCTACATTGGAATTGATATTGAATATGATAATGAGAAAAGTAATATCTTAACACTGAGTCAGGAAAATTATATTGAATCTTTAGCTAAACTGTATGGTATTAAAAATTCAAAGCTTTATGATACACCAATGGAGACTAATCTTAAACTAAGCCAATCTAATTTAAATCAAAATGTCAAATATAGAAATCTAATAGGAGCACTCTTGTATATTAGTCATGGTACTAGACCAGACATATCTTTCAGCGTAAATTATTTAAGTAGATTTCAAAATTGTTATGATGAGACACATTTCAAATATGCTTTGAGAGTTTTAAAGTATTTGTACTTAACAAAACATCTAAAATTAACCTATAGTAAAAATCTTAAAACTGATATTATGAATTGTTATGTTGATGCTGATTGGGGCAGGTGATATTGTTGACAGAAAGTCAACTACTGGGTTTGTTATTGAATTATTTGGTAATCCAATTTACTGGAAATCCAAAAAGCAAAATTGTGTGACAAAATCTTCCACTTTTGCCGAATATATTGCTCTATCTGAGGCTGTGACAGAAATTAATTTCTTGAAAAATGTTGTGAATGATGTTTTTGCTGATATAACTCACCCCATTAAAATTTATGAAGATAATTCAGGAGCTTTGGCCATTGCTAATTATGGGAACTTCACTAAAAATTCAAAAACACATAGAAGTTCAATATCATTATGTTCACGAAAATGTTCAAAATGGAGTAATTGAAATTGTAAAGATTGATTCAGAATCAAATATTGCAGATATCTTTACTAAGTCTTTAGGAAAGATTAAATTTATGAAATTTAGAGAAGGTTTGAAATTGAAATAAATTTTGTATACTGTTTATTTAAGTGATGTTTATTTAAATATATTTGCTTGAAATGAAATAGATTTTGGTAATCTCCTTATGTAAACTAAATTAAAAAATGTAAAAATGTTATTGGTTATATCTATGCTTAATTGTAAATGGTAAAGATGAAAAGATTGCTTATATCTGTTTATTTGTAATATAAATGTAAGGAGGCGTGTTAGTTTGGTACATTTATCTTTACCATATTGGCAACACCAAGTTCTCTCTTCTCTGTGTGCGAGCTATGGATGCCGATGTAATGTTGTGCACGTGTTATTAAGTTTCAATAAAAAATGTGAAAAGATACGTTTCTTATTTTTCGACTTGCTTCTTCATATGACATCGATTTATTTAACACTTTATTGTTATTTTGTTTTTGGCAGCTGTTGGCTGAGGGTTAAAAGAGTTTATCATTCGTCTTCTTAGTTTCATCCCAGCTGCATGCGTCATTTCTTTCAAGCCTTATATTATTTCTTTAAGCTATTTTTATTCTCACTGTTTATATCTTTTGTACTAGTATTTGGTAAAAATTTGCTTCTATTTAGTTAGACTTTCATAGTGCTTTGATAATCACCAATTTTTTAAAATGCCTTTCCAGTTTAAGAAAGGTCAACCTTTAAAGTTTCAAGCACATCAAATCATGTACAGTGTCGCAGAATTTTGCGCTTCTGAAGCTTCAACGAACTCTTTAGTACTATTTAGTAATTCCTCTCCCTCAAGTTTTGAAGTGAACATCACAAGCTACTGGAGTATTGGAATATACAATTAAGAAAATTAAGCACGAAGTATTTATTAACAATGGGCGGAAATAAACTTCTAAGTACACCTGGAAAGAAACGTAAAAAGCCCTGCTGATCAAAAGCTGGTAGTTCGGTTTGAGGTTTGAATCCTGCGAATTTGCCACAAAAAGAATGAAAGACTATCAAAAATGGGCAACAATGAGCCTTTGGCAGAGGCGAAACCCCCCTTGTGGATAATGAAGAACACTCTATGGTTGATAAATTTCCAATTATTGTGTTCTTGGGGACCCACAAGCAATAGCATACTTTGTGTAAAAATGAATTTTTAATCTTTAATGAAAATTAAATAGGTTTTATTTTATTTTATGTTAATGCAACAAAGCTAATTGCAGTCATAAAATCTAAGTTTTGTTTAATTATATAAATTTTGTATGATTTTAAATATAAAATAGATAACTGAATAATTTAATAAATATACAAAAACATGGGTGACATGAGACATCTTCAATAACAAACAGTAGTAAACTGTTAGTTGCAGTGTCAGTTGAAAAAAAAATGTGTTGTCTTTGCAACATTCTCAGTAGCAACTGTAGAGTATATAAACATCAGAGATGTAACACAACTTGGTGTTTTTGTGTGAGGTGTTACAGATAAATGTGATATAATTCAGGAATTGTTATAAAAAATTCCTATAAAAGGAAAAATTGATGTAAGGAGTTGGAATAAAGGCCACATAATGACTTTTGTGAACACAGTGTATATTGTGTTTTCTTAAATCTTTCCATTTTAACTTAAAGGAACTTAGAAGTATGAGAATGTTTGAGTTTTGGATGCTAGTAACATAATTAACTGTATAAAATATGAGATCAATTGATGAATGAGATTGTGTATAAATAAACAAAATTACTTTATACACACACTGCAAATGAATTAGAAACCTTTGAGATTTTCATTTGAATGTGTGCTAGGGATGAAGTTTGCAAATTTTTTTATGGCATGGGCTACACATGGTTAGTATTAGTAAGTGTAAGAGTATAAGTAAGAATGCTTTTCAGAACAAATGAAGTAAAATTGGAAAAACAACAGATCTTTCGCTATTTGAAAAGGGCTTATTTTTAATGCCATTTAGCAGAGATAAAATTTCAAAGATTTCGATTTCAAAGATAGCAAATCTCATTAGGTTCTCAAAAGCAGCCACATCAAAGTTTTCAAGAGTTCGAATCAGAATCCACAGTCCTTCTGTAGAAGACATTATTGCGGTTCGAGCACAGTTTTCCAAGAGAATGATCGGCAGCATCTCTGGCGAATTGTATAGCAGAACAGGGACTCTACTGTGCTTCAACTGACACAGTTCATCAACCAAGGCTCTTGCCAACAGATTTCAGCTCAAACCATGTGTAGGGAATTGCAGAGGATAGGAATGCATAGTCGGGTGCCTATGAGAAAACCACTCATTTCTGCCTGACATGGAAGGAATTCATTTGCAGTGGTGTCTGGAAAGAAGACACTGGGTATCTGAGGGTTGGTAATGGGGTTGGATGAATCACGCTACACCTTATTTTGCACTAATGGAAGGCATCAAATTTGCCAAGAACCCCATAAAGCCATGAAGCCATCTTGCCTTACTTGCAATGTGCAAGGGTCTAGTGGGAGTATCATGATATGGAGCGTGTTCTGCTGGCATGGAAGTGGTGCCCTGGTGTTCGTCGACAGTAAACAAACAGCCATGAGATACCTAGATATACTCGCAGATCAAGTACAACCTGAAATGTTGCATTTTTACCATGATGGCGATGAATACTTCATGGACGATAATGCAACTATACATTGTGCTAGAAGTATTCAAAATTGGTTCGCTGAGCATCAGTCTGACTTCCAACATCATCCCTGGCTACCACATAGCCTGGACCTTAACCCTGTAGAAAATGTATGGGATATGGTTGAAAGACTCATCTGACAGTACTATCCTCTTCCATCTAATTTACAAGATCTAAAAAGTTGCATAGCCAATTCTCTGGACATAAATGCACAATAGAAGCATGTAGACTCAATGCCCAAATGAATCAGAGTAGTTATCCATGCAAAAGGTGGTCAAATAAGATATTGATCTTGGGTTTCTAAATCATTGGCCAGTGTGTTTATCATTTTTATTATATTTAGGCAGACTGTTTGAAATAACTTACAACATATAATAATTTACATTATACTATTATTCAGTCTTTTTCATGGGGAATAACAGATCAATAGGGATAGGTAAGATTTGTTTTCGTATTTATTGCCTGAATTATAATTATATATGTTATATCTTTTTTCTCCTGTTGTTTGCAACTTATTTCAAATTATATTTTATCACAGAGAAGCTTAAACGTAATGCGAGAATACCAGTTCCTGAAGAATTTGGCCGAAACATGTTAGGTGTTTTGGATGAATCAAAGACTTTAAAATATGGCCAAGTGTTTGTTCAGTATAGCAAAGATATATCTGATCAAAACTCTGGCACAGAAATTTTGCAAGGTTAGTGATTGTATCTCAAGTTTCATTTTAAGTGTTAATTTCTTGAAAAAATACTATTAGTTTATTTTTTTATAGAAAAATATTATTAGTTAATTTTTATTAATTAGATGAAAGTTTTAACATACACTAGAGATGCATTTAAAATAATCAGCAAAATTCAAGGTTAATTTGTTATTAATTGTCGTAAGAGTCTGTGTACTCTGATGAGCTGTGGTACCACAGATATTTACACCTTGCATAAAAAAAAAAAAGAGAGAGTTCTATATCTTCTGTTTTACTTGACCGATTGTGAAAGCGTTTTCCATGTCTTGAAAGCGGGACTTAGGATAAACATTAGATTTAAATGTAGCGTTGTTCTAACATAGGTATTTTGACACAATATCGTATTTTTCTGGAATAACATTATTTTTCCATATTTCGATTCTATGACTTAGTTGATGCCTAGATGTTAAATTTTGTAAATATTTGTTGAAATTTATGGAGAAGTTCAAAAATTTATCTTGATTCATTTTTTTCAGTTTGTGCCAAGAATAATTCACTTGGCTAACTTCGTAATTTATAGCAACCTATTTTCCTTTTTTTTTCATTGTACAAAAGAAGAAAAAAGTCATCGTTCTTGCTTTCAAATAATTTTAGATTTGAAAAGTGTGTAAACTAATAATGCCGAAAGTAATAATGACAATGTGTGTAAACGACATTTGTCATTATTATCGCTCATAACAAATTTGCCAAATTTCAAAATGTGCCAAGATGTAAGTTCACCTACATCTTAGGAAATTCTGAATAATTCGTGTGATTTTACAAAACTTGGCCCTTTGGCATAATTTTAGTTATACAATCGAACTATGGAAAAAAATTGGTATGCTATTTTAGAAAAAGTCCGGTGTTATGCCAAAATACCTATGTTAGAACTATGCTATGTATAAATCTAATACAGTCAAAAGTCGTTAATCCGGATTCGTTGGGACTTCGGCGATTCCGGATTATCGATTTTTCCGGTTTATAGATCATCAGTTTAAATCTCGTAGGATGGCATGCAGAAATTCTAAAATTAAAAATATGAAACCGTAATTTATGAAATAAAGAACAATTATGATCTAAAGGGTATCAAAATTTACAAAAAAAAAAAAAAAAAAAAAGCTAATATTATTTGTTTACTTTATTAAACATTTCTTTCAATGTAAGTTGTTTAAGTTGCTTCGTTTAATGTGATATACTTTCTCTTTAATTCTATAAACGACATAATTTCTTGTTCAGTTACAAGTTTCGCGTTCAAGTCCCGTTAATTGCTGTGCCGAGAATACCGACTAACTTGTCAATCGAAATTTTTTCGTTTTCACTAACCTCTCTGTCACATTCTTCATGTCTTATCCATTTTTTGCAGCAATTCCACTTTTGTTTGTTGGACATCGAAACAATTTTCGTTTTGTAGATCCTTTGGAAGTTCCAGCATCGGAAATTCTAATTGACATATTCGAAAGTTCAAGTTTACTTTTATAAAATTGTTCTTACAGTCTGCAAAAATAATAAGCGGGATCCAATTCGAAGATTAAGGAACAACGCAATCATTAACATTAACTGAAATAGATAATTAGATAATTCCGTTAATACATTAACGCGCAGGCGAAAATGTATTCTGCACTTGCGCACACCGCATATGCGCAGTAAGTCAAGGTCTTACGCGCACACGTAAAACGCCTGTGCCATGTGCCAACGCGGCGCATGCGCAGAAAGTTTTCAGCTTTGAGGTCCGGATTATAGATCATTCCGTATTATGGGTGTCCGAATTAACGACTTTTGACTGTATATATTCTAAGTCGTGCTTTCGAGATGTGGAAAACGCAAGTTAAATTTCAACAATTGGCCTAGTAGAACGGGAGATAACTGTTCCCTTTTTTTTCTGCAAGGTGTACATATCTATAATTTTTAAAAACAAATCGTAATTTATCGATTGGAATACATCAAGCCTTATTTTATTGTAATTATTGATAAATTATGATTGACTTTTGTTCAATTGAAGTACTCTTTTTTTAACATGTAAACCATTAATGCTGAAATGCTTGTGCAGTGTGATGGTGAATGAGTTGTACTATAAATTTATGTCTAAAGTATGTATTTATTTATTTTAGCGCAATTGCTTTTCGAATATCTGCATATAAATTGCATAGCTCCATATGTAAATTCATTTTGCAGTAAATATAAATGAAAATTTGTTTTAAAATAAGAAAAATTCTAATATATGTTACTTTTTAGTTAAAATATTCTTGTTCAGTTAGCTTGATATCATCATAAAGAGTGTTAAAGTATTTAGAGTAGTATCTCATTATCCACAGTAGTTAGGTTCTTGCATTATTATATGGTTAAGAAAGGCATGGGTTATGACACCTTAAAGCTTGAAATAATACAATCCAAATGAAATTATGTATAATAACATTTGGAATGGTAATGCAATTAAATAACAAACTTTGTAAATTTAGTTAACTGGATTTAATAATTAATGCAATAAAATATCAGTTAATTCAGTTGCTAACAAAGGGAGAGGGAGAATTCTTTGTTATGAAGTTTTGTGTTTCCCTTTTTTCAGTGATTTTGCCTAATTCTTCATAGGCCTGTGATAATATACAGGATGTTCATAATTAAAGTTGTGCTCTTCAGATTTCCCTACACCAATTTATCAGAAAAATTAAAACTTTGAATGTGATGTAGTTAGAGGATGGAAAAGATATTACAAAGAAAAGTTAGTTTCAAATGTTGCATACAAAGAACATGCAATTTTAAATTACAGATTTAGCTAATTTTTGACTTGCACAGTTTTGATTACAGTAATACAGACTGCACATGGTAGCCATCTTTGTCAACTACCATCTGAAATTGCAAAATAAAATGTTCCATAGTTGAGCAGAGTGTTTGCCTGCAGAGTCATAAATGCTATACAAAGTCATGAAATGTCATCTTTAAAATCAGATATGTGCTCCTGTTGATGTGGCTGATGTATTAGATCCTTCCAAAGTCAAAAATTGCTTGAATTCAGGTCTGGGGATTGAAAATGCAACTCAGATAAAGTGCCAGTGGCTGTAACATGACTTTTGAGAGCATCCTTAACATACCGTACAATGTGTATATAGATGTGCTCCATCTTCCACAAAGACTGCATGCAAGGCATTGATGTGCTTGTACAGCTTGAACAATTTCATTTTCTGACAGTGCTGTATAATGCTGCCCAGTGATCAATCATGTTTATGGCACTGGTGGTACTACCTCCATGAAGAAGTATGGTCCCAGAATAAATAATGTAATAAATATACCATAACACTGTCACTTTTGGGGAATGTAATGAACTTCTAGGATTAAGCATGGATTTTGCAAATCCAGAATTCAGCAACTGAGAGCATTCACTGAATTATCCCAATGAAAATGTGCTAATTGTATCTAGAGAATGTTTACGATGTTTCAAAATCAATTTTGCACCAAGGAAGAAACTATAGTGAGAACTGAAGTGGTGCATCAAAGTGTATTTATGCAAAATTACACCAAAGAAGCTGCTGCACCAAGTGAAAATCTGTAGAGATAATATGAGAGGATATTGTGCAGGATCTTATGGACAGTTGAATGTGGCTTATCCAGTACCCATGTTAGATTGTAAACACTGTGCTTACCTTAAATTTTGGCTCTGTTCTTTCCACTTAAACCACAACCTCCTCTGTCATATCTGTAAAAATAAGTTTCTTCCTCTTTTAGGAGAAACAGCCAATGACCTGTTTCTTTGAATTTCATGTCCATAAAGCAGCTGTTGCAGAGTCACTGTTTTGATAAAAGAATGTAACTAATAAAGTGTGATATTACGAACTTCATTCATTGTGAATGATGATCATACTGAATGTTAGTTCTTTACAAATGTTTGCAAGTTTCATAACAGCTGCTGCATAACATTAAAAAAGATTCCATTGGTACTATGCGTGTTTCATAATAATACACCTCCTAGTGGGGTATTTGGAACTGATTTGGCTTTTTGCTAAATGATTCAGGTGAGCAAGTCACTTTTCAGGCTCCAGGTCAGTCACATTTTTCAGGCAGTCTGATCCTTTATGTAATAGGCAAGTGAGTTGATAACAAATTAAGGCTAGCATTTCAGAGATGATAGTTCAGGAGAGCAAAATGCACTTCGGATGAGAAAAATCTCAAGTCAAGTTAGCCTCTTCTGATGAGGTAGTGAGATGTTGAATACTCGCTGTATAACCAGGTGTAATAAGCTGGATGGGTGTAATAGTGATAACAGGAGTATTTATTTCTAATAGTCTAAAAGTAAGGAGTTAACAATAAAATTCGTCTGGATTGGCAGGAGGGCAAAAGAATTGTACAAAATTGAATATTAAGTTAAATTTAGAAAAAAGTTGTAACAATTGAGCCAAATACTAATGAAAAAGGTGAGAATTAAAACAATGAGCGCAGATTAGACTATATATAAGCAATGTAGAACGAAAGTTAATCTGAGAGAAGGAGCTTTGGTCCATTTCTTTTTTTATTTGCACTATTAAAGTATACCACTAATGAAAGTTATAATTCATTAGTGGTATACTTTCATTGTTTGCATTTTCGGTGTTACTAAAAAATTTGTTTGCAATTTTTACCTTGTATTTTGGTAACATTTTAATTTTTGTATTCTTTGTTGATTGCATTATTCCTTATCTACCATCTACCAGCTGTAATTTGCCAAAGTGTTGTGCTTTGAAGCACTTGTAGTTTATTAAGATTGGATTTACATGCATAGCCCCCATACAATACAAGCGTAAGTAATAATATGTAGCATCATGGCCTTACACACGAGTATTTTTTTTATCTGTAAATAAAACAGAAGTCAGAGAAATTAAGGGAAGTAATGTAGCTTTAGCAGCTCGGAACTTGGAAGCAATATATGTTATGGGGGGTTCCATGGAAGTTTTTGATCAAGAATAACCTCTAAATATTTAACCTGCATTGTCCAGGGGATAGCAATATTAAACAAGGTAACAGTCATATTTATTTCATGGTGTCTATTAATAGCTGTTTTTCATTTTTTGAAGCCAGGACTCCAGTGAGTGGATATGCTGTTGTAGTGTTTGGATGACTGAACTCAGGGATGCATTTTGAGTCATAATCGCCATGCTATTGGCATACATAGCCAGTGTAGTGTTAGTGTTGTGTGATATGTCATTCACATAAATCAAAAATAATATAGGGCCAAACAGACTTCTTTGGAGGACACCTCCATGAATTTGATATTGTGTGGAGTAATAATTGTTATAGCAAATGAAAAAAAAATTTGTCTTCGAGATAAGAGTTAATGATGTGTATGATTTATTTATTTTTATTTGTCAAATGCCAGTTAAACAAAGGCCATTAGACTCCTTGCTTGCCAATAGCGCTGAAATCTACAAGCCAAATTTGTCAGTGCTTCACACTCGTCCAAATGTTCCGCCGTCATTGGCCGCCCACTATTACATAAAACACACAACGGCGAATCAGCTAGTCCAATATGAAATAAATGATTCTGTAGACACTCATGTCCCGTCAGTAGTCTAAAAGATGCAACCGCAACTGTTCGTGGGTGGTCATAAACAAAAGCTGGGTTTGATGAGAGAACACTCCAAGGCTTGCCCTCACAAGCCTGAGTGGCAAAATCTCTAAAAGTTTTTTGATATGTTAGCGATGTCAGAAGCTTAATAGAATGGATGTTTGCACTCGTTTTTGACTTTTGGAGAATCATAGCCCCCTTTTTCACAAGCATATCGGCCATCTCATTTCCATAAAATACCGCAGTGTGAAGGTACCCATTGAAAAGATATCTTGTGGGAAAGTTCTTTTATGACTTCCTGACACTATTGAATGCATGTGTTCTTACACTCTTGGAAGAGGAGATGGCCTGTATTGCTGAAGTTGAATCAGACAGTACAACAGCCCTCCTGAACGAGCTTTGTCTCAATAATTGTTGGAGAGCTACATGAAGGGCTTTCAGTTCTCCATCAAAGTGAGTGGAGTAAGCCCGTACAGGTATGTAGAAACTGAAAAGCTTGCTAAAAACTCCAGCTCCAGCCCCCTGAATCCTATCGGTCAAAGAGCTATCCGTATATACATGTATCCATTCCTCAGCTGGATAACGTTGCTCAATTGTTTCCAAAGCTATAGTTCTTATTTGCTCTGGACTCATTTCCTTCTTATCAACTTTCATTTCCAGGTCCAACCGCACATCAAAGAAGCTATAATCCACAGGATTTAGCAAAAACAGCAGTGCCGGTTTCAGTGTTCTTAAATGATTGTATTGTTCTAGGCGAGAGACATACTGCAGAAAACCATTTTGTGTCTTCAGATTTTGTTGTTTGTTATAATCATAATTCCTCCAATGTCATAATTCCTCCAATGAGGGTTACTTAGTAGATGAATAAGTCTCTGGAAAAGGATGAAAGCATTTTTCTGAATCAGGTTTGTCATTGGTTGATTTGCCGATACCAACTGCATTGCCAGAATGGGAGTCATTTTAACAGCCCCAGTTATACTGCGCAGTGCCTGATTTTGGAAGAACTCCAGATGTTGTATCACATCTCACGTAGCTGAGATCGATATCTCCCAGGAATAATTTAGTATTGGTCGAATAATACATTTTTATACGTGGAGTATGAGAGTCTCTCTACCACAATCCCATTTAACACCTGCTAAGCAGCTTAAGGATAGGTAATCTATGCTCCGCCTTAGCAACTACATGCTCTGCATGCTTTCTCCAGCTTTAGCGCTTCTGAAAAATACAGCCAAGATAGGTGGTACCTATCCGTCCGCTGCAAAACCAACTTCTCATACACTAGTCTAGGAGTAAAGTGTTGTCTGTTGAGAGAGAAAAACTGACAAGTAGGCTTTCCCTGATTAACTCTCATAGTATTAGCAGAACACCACTTCTCAAGTCTCTGGAGTGCAGAGTTTAAGATTCGGTGTAAATCATCTTGATCTTTTTTGTTAGCTCTGGCCCATACGACAAGATCATCGACAAAAAAGGCAGTGTTCATGATTCCATCTGATTTTAAGATGTCTGGTAGGGCGTTAATAAAAATGTTAAAGAGAATAGGGCTAATAACTGTGCCCTGAGGCAAACCAGTTTAAGCTTTTTTATATTTTGAAGTGCTGGTGCCATAATGAGTAGCACAAAAACGTTGGGTCAAGAAATGTTTTAACCAAAGGAACATTTTTCCTCCAACACTGAATGTCTGAAGTTTTTGAACAGCCTTTAAACTCCAAACATTATCATAAGCTTGTTGACTTGTAGAATGATAATTTCTAAATCCACTTGTTTGAAAGGTATTAAGTCATTGGTTTCTAAGTACCACTTAAGACGGGAAACAATCATTCTCTCCATTATCTTTGATAACACACTAGTTAAAGCAATTGGTCTATAGCTGTCCAAATCTTGCTGTGGTTTGTTCTTTTTAAGAATTGAGATCAAGATGGCCTTTTCGAGGCAGCAGGAACAGTCGAGTTCCAACTCTTAATGATGTGTATGATACATCCTGGAAACCCCACAGTGATTAGTTTGTAAGAGATATTAATTAGTAGCTGTTTAAAGTTAATTCACTATTAAAAATACATTTTTATCATTAAAAAGAAAATCTCTTGATTTGTGAGTGTTGAAGGTTGGCAAGTATGCTTAATATATGTCTTATGTTGATATTTGGCAAGAAAACTGCATTGAAGGAAAAATGTTTGTGTAATTGTTTTGTGTAATATCATTTATGTTTATGTTTTAAAAATTAAAATTATTTGCAAAGCCCTAAAAGAATCACATTAAGAAGATATGCTCAGTGTAATGCCCTATTTTCAAATTTAATTGTTGAAATGGATTTTGTAGTACTATTGTATGTATTTCATATAACATCTAATATTGAGAATTCACTGAAATAAAATTTGTTTTTACTGAACTTTGTTCATGTGATATCATTAATGATGCATATCTTTATCTTATTGCCAGGGCCAGTTATTGTGACAAAAAATCCTTGTTTACATCCTGGAGATGTTAGGAAGTTTACTGCTGTTAAAAATAAGTATGTGCTTAATAATAAGCATCTGCGTCTTTTGAAAGATTGCATTGTTTTTCCTGCACAAGGTAAAAGACCACATCCAGATGAAATGGCAGGTAATATGTATGATTATTTATACTTACGTTTTCATTAGTATATTTGTACTCATTTTTCATTAGAAATTAATTAGTTCCTAAGAAAGGGGAATGAATATTATTTATTGCAAAGAATAAATTCAGTTTTTACAAATTCAATCTGTAGATTAATAATACATTTAATGTATGAAGTGGGAATTTAAAATGGTAAAACTGAAAGGATTTTTATTTATTATCAGGATTTTTTTTTTTTAATTTGAGTGTAAAAATTATCACAGTTTGGGATAGGAAAATTATTAGTGATGTATCACTCAATTTTGTGATAATTTGAACAGTTTATCACCCATTTTGGAATTTATAATGAAGTGGAAGAAAATGCTTGCTCAATCCTGTCAATATTTTTTTTAAAAATGCAAAATATTTAGGCGAGAAATGTTTTGTACACAGCTACTGATAAATCATTTGAAACAGTCTTTAATTCATCATCAGAATAACTGAAAAAATTGTCTATATCATTTTTAATTAATAATTGCATTTGTAAATTTGTTGTCATGCTAATTTTGTTTATGAAGGCATATGCCAGAGTTATCTTCAAGTTTTTATCCACTGCCTTGAAGGATTCAGAAGTGAGTGAATGCTGATTCTTGGAGTGATCATCACTTGCAATGATCTTCTGGTATGGAGTGGATTGGATTCTTTATATTATGGCATACAAAGAGCTAATTACTTAAGGGGATTAGGTTGGTTTGGTTTATTTGATTGGAAGATGCCTTTTTGGATTGCTTCATATTCACACTGCATTTGAGGAACACCATGAAAACTTGTACGTACCTAATCTGTTTGCTGGGATTTGAACTTGGATCGAAAAACTACCAGTGTTCAGATATTTAATCACTCAGCTACTGGAGGGCATCTTCTAGTATGGTCCTGAAATGAATGTACTAAAGTTTCTAAAGTGTGAAATAGTAGTTTTATTAAATGAATGAACAACTGTGATCATAAAGAATCATAGTTTTATATCAACTCAATTATTGTGTGAAAGATGAATATTAAGCAATGAAATTGGGCTGCTGTGTTCTTAATTTTCTGATCATACATTGTTTTTCTTTCGCATAGGAAAAGTCTTTAAGCAAGTATGTACTGTTTTTCAAACACCATTTGTTTACTTGATTTTAAAACATAATCTGTTTGGGAAATTGTGTTCCAGGTGTTGCATTAATGAACTAGAACACTGCTAATATATTCCAGAAAGTCTGGGAAAAAATAAGAAGGAAGGATTTCCAGTTTTGGGCTTCATTTTCACAGTACTTGAACCACCTTATGTAATGAAGTCTCTGACTGAAAACTGTGTTGCAGTGTTTGCATTCTTCCTACTTACCTGACATTCTCTTTTTCTTCTGAAGAATTCATTTGAGTTCTGTCATAAAAGTAAGAAAAAGAAACCGACAATGCACCATTCTGGAAAATAATCTTAATTGTTTTGACCATTAAAAGAATGTTTGAGTCTTAAACTTTTAGAAGAATGAACTACTGTATAAATTATAAGTTTTGACTTTACTTTTTTGAAGCAGTTCATATAGCCTTGAAAACTTTTTTCTGGACTGGACAGTGCACTTTTTTAAAAAAAGGGAAGAATTTTGATTTTTGCTTTCTCTTCACATACCATACTCCATTTTAATAATTACAAGATGACAAAATTCTCAAAGACTTAAAATCCAGTTTTAATTTTCAAAATAATATTTGAACATTGTTTAATGCCCAAATAAAACTTGATAACTGATATTGATTAAAACTTTCCTGTGATGATATATATTAGTGTGTATTTCTGTAGGAGCTGATTTGGATGGCGATGAATTTGTCGTTTTATGGCATAAACCATTAATTTTTAAAAGAAGGAATTTTGAACCCATGTATTATCCTGTTTATGAAGAAACTACCAGTTTAAGGAATATAGAAGTAAGTGCATTTCAAAATTTTATTTTTTCCCGAATGGTAGTTTCTTTTACCTTCATGCTTTTTTTACTTTCTTGTACAAAGTAAAAGGAAGTATTGCTTTTGGGGGGAAAAGTGCATTTTAGAGAAGAAGACAGATCTTCTTTAAAACAGACAGAGAGATTTTGTAAATCTTAAACATGCATTGTGAATCTTAAACATACCAAATTTCACAATTTCAAGATTTCAAGACAAATTTCAAGATTTGTAAATCTTAAACATACCAAAATAAAATATCGCATTCAATTATGAAACTTATAGATCCTGAACTTTGGCTTGGATCCTGCCAAACTTGATTTGAAAGAAGTGATGGCACTTTATTTAGTTTCAAAAGTAAAAGATGCAAATTATGGTTATAAAAAATGCTTGTCATAATGCATATAATGTAAAGAAAGGCCCCATAATTTCGTTATTGCTTCACTACATTCTGCTCCATTTAGTGCATGTCTTAAATTTTAATAATCTTTTCGAAAATGTGAGGGAAGAAACAGATAAATAACAGTAAACTTACATCCTTCATCACAAAACTACAATGCCTTAATTAATTACAAGATGAAAAAATTCTCAAAGACTTATTTAAAAAATGCAATTTTAATTTGGAAAGGGGATGGATATAGTTAGTGTGGTGAAAGTGATATTAGATTGTGTGTATATCTATGTTTTAAAATTCATCATACACAAATATCTTGCTGTCTATGTTTATTTTATAATTTCTAATAAACAACTTAATGTGAATTGGTATTTCCTTATTATTACGGAACCCGTTTTTTAAATGCCAGGTTGGCATCGAGATTGTCAAGCTTGTGTTTACTTCTCACACACACTTTGTATTTGCCATATTTCCATTATCATTATTAATCTTGTAATTAATCAGGTTTACATAAAACCAAGGTAAAGATCTTATTGCACTGTGACATCGCACTTATCCAGAAGTAACCCAAATCGTACTCTTTGGGAACAGTTTTTGTTTGTTCCGAGTTATAGATCTATATGTGCTTTGAAATGGCTTCTCAAGTCTCTCAATTCATAGTTTTTCATTTTAATAAAAGTTTTTTAAAATTTTAAAACCTTCAGGTTACTTGAGTTTTGAATGCAGCATAGTCAGGCTTCTATTATATTAACTTTTACTTAATATAATTATGAGGATTGGAAAACTAGTTAAAAATTAGATTTTCTGATTTTTTGCTGTTTAATTAATACAAAGCATGAATATTTGCATAATTCAAAACAGTTTTGAATTGGAAATATGTGTTTATGCATGTTTTTTAAACATAGTCATTTAAAGGCAGTTATAATTATCTGGGAAAAGTAATTTGAATTTTTTTTTAAAAAAGGATGTGTTTCAAAAATTTTTAGGTCAATTTTAAAGAAAAATTTAGCTTTATGTCTCATATTTTAATCTGTGGGTGTTGAAACGTCTTTTTGCAGTAAATCACAAAATTTTAAGCTGTAATTTAAAAGTCTTGGCAGGATAATTAATAGAATAACCTATTATTTCAGAAGTTGTATTTTATTATTTAAAAGCTTTTTTTCACTATTATTTATTTGTCTACATACAAGTTTCCTCCATTTAATGAAATTAGGTAGTTTGTGTGAAATGTTTTATAATCTGAAGCATTAAAATAAAATAATAATAATAATAATGAACACTTACTGTTAATTTATATGGTAAAGCATTTTGGGGATTCCAAAACAACATAGCTTGTCAGATTCTGACAAATAGCATTTAAAATAATGCCGAAGAAATGTTATGATGTAATGCCGAAGAAATGTTATGATGAATGCACAGTTCATATAAATAGGAATAATGTATGTGCATGGCAGTATCATTTTCCCGTTTCAGGGAAACAGCTACCACACTAGAAGAATCATCTAGTGTGCTAGCTAGATGTTGACCGTGACACTAATGTCTGAGGTTATCAAAGACCTGATTGAGGAGGTATAGGGAGATTAAGATTATTTGGAATATAGCAAAGGGCTATCTTCCTGAGGGGAAGCAATGTCTTTGTGGAGAGCTTTTTAAGGGAAATTGGGTTGAGTTTGCATTACGCATGGGAAATACCTTGCAGATTTTCATGCTGCCAATCCGTTTGTGGGAATTTAAACCTGGGTTGAACTATCAGTGTTGCTGCTCAGCTGCTGGTAGGCATAAATAGGTCTTAGGAGAAAGACATTAAAGATCATTTATTAAACTCTCATTATCATTTTTAATCCCTTGGATCTCAACATGTATGGCCTTTTTGTTTTTCTCAGTACAAGTTTGAGGTTTACAGTGTGGTTTGGTTGATGTGCAAAGCTACCTAAATGTTTGTATTCTGTCATAAATGAAGTCACAGTTTCTGCAGTTACTGTATAGATGCAGATATAGATATCATGATTATTTTCAGGTCTCCTCCTCCCCCCCTTTTTTTATTTATTTTTGTGAGAGCAGAAATAATCATCAGATTTTTTTCGTTAACAGAAAAATGATACTGATATATATTTTTGTTAAAAATAAGATGGAGATTACTTGCATAGGTTTAATTCCTTTAGTTATGACTGAATAATGTATTTTCAGAAGATTCAATAATTTTATTCCCACTGGGAATATTCTTCTGCTAGTAAGTTTAAGGAGAAGTCTTGTTATGCTTGCGAAACTTGTAGCGGTTGAATTTAACTCTTAGATGGTGTTAGTACTGTTTGATGGTGTAAAAGAAATATATAAAGTGATATCATAGTTGATGTTATAGTGCAAAAGATTTTACAGCCATTGTTCCATTTTTTAAACAAGGACATTTGACAAAGAAACTTTGATTTACAGTCTTAGTTTTTAGGTAGTTCAAGCTATTCCAAATGATATAATAATCAGCCTATGGTAGATACAAAAAAAAAAAAAAAAAAAAAAAAAAAAAAAAAAAAAAGCCATTGTATTAGTACTTTCAGAAATGTTAAGAATGCTGGAGAAAGTGTGTGTGTTCCACTGAATGCTATTTTGAAGGTAGTTAAGTATGGTGTTATGGATTTCAAATATAATTAATTGCCTTACAAATATTTTGAATATAGGAGTGCATCTAGGTAACAGAAAGATAAAATATGTTGATGAAAGTTGATTAAGTTTTCATGAATAATGCTGATTGTATTTGGCATTCAGTGAATGTACTACATTCTCTCAAGCGTGGGAATGTATGTGAAATTGTTCAAGAAATGTTCTTTTCAATGATATGTGCCATGGAATGTGTGTTGTTTACATGCATTAAAAACTGGTACACACATATTTAGCCACCTTGATTGGTATAGTGGTGAGTTATCCTGGTTGCCGTAGCATTAAATCAGGGTTAGAATCCCAGAGAGGCAAGTGTATAGTGTCTGTGCAGTATGGGGGCATTCAAAACACACATTGAGGTAAAAGTCCTCTTGTATGGTTTGATGGTATAGAAGGAGTGGGAGATCCTTGGATCATTCTCCAGAGTGTTGGCCATCAAAATTGAAGTAGAACTTAGCAACTAGTATGGCTTAAATACATCTGTATAACCAGTTGAATGATGTCTCCTGCCACTTATATCTGTATCTGCACATATATATCCAAGCAGAGTTCTGTTAAATTTAATCAAGCGAATACTGACAGAATAGCACAAACCCAGGATGAGATATTTTACAAACGCTGGTAATATTAACAAATTAAAACTCTTTGGAAAACACTTTCCTGTTGTGTATATAACTACAAGAAAAAATGAACAACAAAAATATGTTGTTTGCAGCAAAAGTGGAAAGGGGATGGATCTAGTTTTTAGTGTGATGAAAGTGATATTAGATTGTGTATATATTGATGTTTTAAAATTCATCATACACAAATAAATGTATTATGTCTAGATTTATTTCATAATTTCTAATAGACAACTTAATGTGAATTAGTATTTCCTTATTATTACGGAACCCATTTTTTGAATGCCAGGTTGGCATCGAGATTGTCAAGCTTGTGTTTACCTCTCATGTTCACTTTGTAATTGCCATGTTTCTATGATTGCTTTTAATAAGATATCAGAGACATTTTCTTGTGGCAACGACTTTTGTGAAACGAGCTCTGTAAGATGAGGGCAAACTTTGCTTCATTGATATTATTCTGTCACTTTGTGGAGCACCAAAGTCTTTCAACATTTTGTGTATGAGCAGCTAATCTCGAATTAACAAACTGGAATTTATGTTTCATAGTAAAATATTTCGAACCTGTTTTTTCCACTTCTCTGTCTTATATGCTGAGTAATAGTTTGAGTAAATCCTTGATCCCTCTTGTACATAGTTTGACAATTTTTAACATAAGTGTAGATACCTCTCTATTTAGAACCCGAGTAAGAAAGAAAACTGGTGTGTTTTTTCTTACTTTCTCAGTACCAATATATTTATAGGTACTGGGAAAGAACAGTGGCAGTTTTCTTTTTTCACTCCATGAACATATTTTTATATGTATCCACAAATTTTTCAAAATCACTTATTTGTAGATTCATTTGTCTGATTAGAGGTAGAGAATACGTAAGTGTTATAAAACTACTCTGTCAATTTTAATTATAATTTTGTAAAGGCAGATTTACTTCTCCCCTCCTACTTATTCAATACCAGTTCCTCTGCCCGGCATTAAATAAATCATTGCACTGATATGAAATAGAATCTGAAAACAGTGAATAGTTGTCAGTATCTATGCTTTTCCTTCACTTGTAAATTTTCAAAGTGCTGTTACCACTGTTTTCAGTGATATGTGGTTTTATTTAATGTCCTTTTTTACTGATTGAAATGCCAAGTAAAACGTGTCGTTCTTGGAAGAAAGCTATAGCATCTTGCTGACTTCTCCGTAATTGAAATATTTTGTAAATTTTTTAAAAAGAAAATATGTTAACATGGGAAATACTTAAGTCCTAAAGAATTGTGAATAGTTAACTTTCATATGAAAAAAGAAAATAGGATAACACATGGTTTATTTGCTCTTCTCATTATGACCAAACTATAAATGATCTTGATTAAGACTGCTGGCCATTTGATGATGGTTTTTTGTTGGAAATTTATGGATAATCTTGATATTATTTACAAAACAGGGGCTGTAATAACAAGGAAGTACCAATTTATTCCTAGATTTATTTTAAAATGGAGAACAAGGCATCTATAACATTGGCTTTATCTAATGCAGTCACAATTATGCAATCGCAATTTATTCCAATCAAATCCTCTAAAGATTTTAAACTGACACATCCTAGAGTCAAAAATATGAGAATCTCTAATTATGTACAGTGTGCAATAATGGCACAACCTATTCATCAATAGTAAGTATACTGGTAACTAGTTCCGCCATCATGAAAGGCATTGGAAACTCTTAAAACCTTAAAATGAGAGACTTAAACACTGATATAAAATTAGGAATGCCATGCTTAGAAAATATCTAGTAATAGATGATTAAAAATTTTTAATTTACAAAATTTATTCTTTTTTCTGTTTGTAATTGATAGTTTATTTCTCAATTGATTTGATTTAATTTGTGTTATGCAAATTTTCTTTGTAATATTTTTTATGAAATTTTATTATTCTTTTCATTGTGCTGTTTTCTTTTTTACAGATGTCAGATGTGGTGGACTTTTTCTCTCATTACATTGAAAATGATAGTATTGGCACATTTGCTCATGCTCATCTCGTTTGGGCTGATAAGTTAAAAAATGGCATTTTTTCTGAGAAGTGTTTGGATATAGCAAAGCGTTATCCATATGTGTTAGATTTTGCTAAGCATGGTACCACAGAATATCTAACTAAGGGGAATAGACCGCACCAGTATCCTGATTTTATGCAAAAAGGTCTTACTGGTAACACTTACCATTCAAAAAAGGCACTGGGATCTCTATATCGGGCATCAAGGGTACTAGATGCATGCTCTAGCAAGATTAATTTATTTTCTTGTAATTTTTCATTTGATCCTTATCTGAGATATCCTGAATGGGAGCAATATGAAAAATCTGCAAAGATCCATATGCAGGGCTATACTGGTGTTCTTTTGCAATTGTTAGAAAGGTATAATTTGAGGAGTGAAGCTGAAGCATTTTCTGGTTTTGTGGAATTAGATATCTGCAAGACATGGCGGCAAGAAAAGTCAAATTACATTCAAATAATAAGAAGATATCTTACAAATCTTATACAAACATATAGAAATATTTTCTTTAAAGAAGTTGAGGAAGAAGCTGTGAAATATTGTTTAGATAAGGAAGAAATAAAGGAAAGGAAGTATCGGAGAGCTTCAGCATGGTACATGTCTTTATATGGTGAAAAACCAGTGAGAATTTTAAGTTTCCCATGGGTTGTAAGTGATATCCTTGCAGAAGTTAGACAAGTGATGGTGAATAAGAATGACGGTGTTAGGCAGTTTGAACATTATTTTACATTTTTTACCGATATTGACACTGATATACGTGATTGTATTAATTCTGGTTCTTTGAAGTGTAATCCAACAGAAACAGTTACTTGCTCATGTATAAATATTTGTGAAAGTATTCTTTTTCAATGGATATCAAAATCAGGATTGAATGTTAGAGCAAACGAACAGGGTTTTTACTGTGACAGTTGCTGTCAGCGAATCATTTCACATTGTAAGTCCAATTCTGCCCAGTATTGCTGCAGTGCCAGAAAAGGAGAAACGTGTAACTGTTCCGATACATGTTCTCCAACTAAACTTATTATGCATTTCTTGAAATTCTTAGTTAAGAATGTGAATTATACGATTGGTGAGTGCGCGGAAAATTGTGCTGGATTCCTGTCACGTAATCTTCAAGAACTGTCACTGCAAACGCTTTCATATGTGGCAATTACACGAAATATTCGATACTTTGGTGTCAATTTTGACACAAATAATTTTACGAAGGATGCAGTTATTTCGAAAATAGATGAAAGTGTATTTGAGGAAGAGGGGGAACCTATAAAAATACCTGTACAAACCTTACTTTTGAAATATATGATAGAAAATTACAAAAATCAAATTAAAGAATATTTAATGAATGAATCAGGTGTAAAATGTATTATATTGCGTCCAGAGATGGATATGCATAATAACCCTTGTTTAATGGTAAATTCTGTCGGTAAAAATTGGCACAGATGGAATTTACAAGAAATTCTTCTTGATCCTGATTTCACAGAAAAACTGAAAAAAAATATAGGTGTTACAGATATACCTGTACCAAGTTGAATTCCTACAGAGAAAAATCAAGTTCAGAATATTAGAACTTATTATTAATTTTATCTCATAGATTATTTCATTTGTATATATACTGAGAGGGAAAAAGGAATTAGAAATTTTAGAACTAAGCGTGGCGTCACAGTTCATGTACTTTGAAGTCTCTACTGAATTTTAAATGATATTTTTTGGTAATGTATTAAGTTTTGTATTTCTCAGTGTATTTTATTTACATTTTAAAATATGATTTTAATATATTAAATATACATTAGCTGAGACCATGTAAAATATATTATTGTATTTAATGTTAAGCTATGTATTAAAAGTATGTGATTGCAACATTTTTAAAAAACTAACCAACAGCTAATTATAAAGGTGATATTAGAATCTACTTAATGAAAAAATAAATTTTATGAATGAATCAGTTTTCATATGTAAATTGTTGTTCTAACATAAGCAGCTAAATTGTTTTCTCCTGAACAAGTATCTTGAAAAGAATATTTGAGAAGTTTAGTAACAAAGCAATGTGATTTTATGATTTCTCATATTTTTTTTTTCATTATAATGAATTAATATATACTCGTTTATGCACCTCACATTTAATCAGTTGAGATTATGCGATGCATATATTTTTTTGGTGTGAGATTCAGTATATTTTAAAAATATACAGAGGATCTTTACATATCTTTAGAATGATTTCAGAGTTGTTTAATTAACATTTAAAATTTAAAGAGTATTTTTTAAAGTGTTCATTCTGATAACCTTTTATCTGGACTATAAGTTTGCATCGTGATTTCATGAGAAGGGCTTTTCGTAAAGTTTCCAGGGTATATTGATATTCGTTCCTCTTCCACTGCTTGTAGTTTAGTAATCACATCGATGTAGTTTTTCTTTTTATTACTTCAAAAACAAAAGTCTGTGACATTGATATTTGTTTATTTATTTATTTGGGGGGGGGCGAATAAATGCTTCTAAATAAATTTGTCTAACTAATAAACCTTCTGTTTTTTTTCCCTAAAAAAGTTTAAAAATTAATTATGCATTATTTTCCCTACCATTGAAATACACATCTTTATGTACTATAAAAGGCTATATTTATTAAATATATACCTACACACACACACATTGAAGAGCCAAAACATTATGACACCTATATAGTAATGCATTGCACTATCTTTGACCTTCAAAACATCTGCAACTCGCCTTGGCATGGATGCTGCAAGCTCCTGGTAGATGACTGGAGACATGTTGTACCAAATGTCTAAGCAGCCATCACGCAAAGTTGAGATATTTCAATGTGGTGGTGTTTGAACTTGACGTGAATATGACACAGTTTCCTTTAAAATTTCCTCCATGAAAGCGAGATTCGAATCCCGTGAACGGGCTGGCTGCATGGGTGTTTTCCCCATGTGTAACGTGTATACAAGCCAGTTTCCCTTAGAAAGTCCTTCACATAGGCATCTCTCCCCATAGGCAGATAGCCCTAGTGTGCTTTGCCATAATTAAATACACCAACAGTCCTCCATGAAAGCAACTCTCCTCTAAGCAGATAGCCCTCCTGTCTTTATTCATATAATTTAACCTAACATAATTTAACCAGTATGCAATAACATGGAGGAGGCTCTTAGGAGATGCCCCTTCCCCCTATAGCGGAAATACGAATAGTTTCGAGGACTGGAGGGTTAGAAGCACTTCAGGATTAGAGTTAGGATTAGGATTGAATCCGAAAGTAAGCTCACCAGAAAGGCGATTCTCGTAGGAGGGGATGATTTTCTAATTATGTAACTTTGGTACATATTTTTAATTTATAACCCCCTCCCAAAAAGAGGGGGGGCACGTAAGGAATTTAGTATAAAATGGAGTTTAGGTTTTTACCTCAAACCTTACTTATTTCTGTATTTATTAAACAAATTAAAACTTGTTAGAGAAATTAAAAGGGTGAGGGCGGCAGTTTTAGCTTTTGCCCCATATCATAAAAATCAAAGATCTATGATATCTGGTGCCTGATAGCGTGCCCCTGGCTCTTACCATAATATTGGCCTTTGGAAATCCTTCTGGATGTTTAAATGCTCTCATCCATGAAGAGTATGTGGCCCCATTGCTGTGATATTCAAAATGTTCATGGGCCCAATTCAACAACACTGTGACATGCAATGGGGACTAAGGAACACAAATCACCTTCATGTAGTCGACCCAACACAATTTGGCAGGATATGAGAAATCCTGCTGGAGCAGAGAGATGCAACACCAACTGTTGTGCTGTTCGTGATCTACAGTGTCTTGCAAATAGCAACAGGAAGTGATCGCCATTGTGGTAGTCCTCTGCCGTGCAGAATTACGTCTTCTGGAGGTTTTTTGTTATCCCTTTTGTAGTGATTCCATAGTCTGTTGTTTACATGATGCACACTCAGCTCTCTCTAACAACAACGGATTGTCTTGCACTAGTGTGCAACGTTCCAACAGCCCTCCAAATGGTGTCTTTGGCTCATGCTTTCCACTTCAGCTATCTCAGATTACACGGAACTATCACTGCTTGTGAATTGATGCATAGGTCCAGCATGCCCCTTTTTAAGGTGTTGTGACTTCAGGATTACATGTTATGCTAATTTTGGTTACCTATTTGCATTCTATGTTACAACCTTGTATGTAAATTGTATGGTTTAATTCCCCTTTTTACATTCGTATTTTTGTTTTTAAACATTTGTTGCTTATATTTTGAGCACGAATGTATATGTGTCTGTGTATATATGATTGCATGCATAAGAGTTCGCAATAGATTGAATGCACAAATCTGATAATAAGTTAATAAAATTTATTCTTTTGAAAAGAAATATAATGGAACTCTGGAATTTCCCTCAGACATATTTGTACAAGTATTCACAATATCACGCAATATAATTAGTAGTTATACTTCAAACTATTAAAAATGTTAAATACAATGCAGTAAAAGTACATCTAAAGGAAAAGCTAATTTGGAATTCTCATTTCTTGCGGGAAAAACAACTCGCAGCAACAGTAATTAAGCAACTCGCTAAACAACTGAACTGAGATGTTTCTCTGTCTGGCTTTTTATTGTCACGAGAAATTTCTAGTAATTTCTGCTTGAGATTTCTGGAAAGCAATAAGAAGATGGAATTACAGTTACAGCTAACATAGTGGTCAATTACATTTATTCAATTTCATTACAAATTGACAAGATAACACTTTACTCAATGTTAAATGTGTGTAATTTAAATTAACGGTAAACTCTTTAATTCTTCCACTCTGTTTTAAAAATCGTAATGACTTCTCTGGATTGTATCATTTCTAGATCATCCTATTTTGCATGGCCTGCACAACGCATGCTGATGATGTAATAATTGGGAACTGAAAACTTTACACCAAAACCTTTGTCTTCGTGTGCTTCCATCTTGCATAACTATGCACTTCAGCTTTGCTCTCTGCCCTGCTAGGGTATAATTTTGCTGTCTTGCTTGCTATTGCTATAATATAAAAAATGTAAATATTCTTGAATAGGCACGATTAGAGTGTCAAGTGAATTGTGGCCACAAACGTCAACTGGAAAATAAAAATGGAATTAAAACTGCCTTGACTGCTGTCTTTCTTGGATATTACCAAGTCAATATTATTAGCACACTATGCAATCAGAATTCTTCCTCTTCAATATGGATCTACAAACGCATCAACACTTCTCCATGTTTTCCTTGCTATTATTTCATATATATATATATACAGAGAGAGATACACATCATCTATTTTTAATGAGAAATATAATAGCATTTCTTTTTTTTATTCATTGAGGCTTTTTTTTAGTGATTGCTTCTTTGTGTTTGCCTATTTGGAAATGGATTTTCTATGAAATTGTTTTGTGTTATGGAAGTTGCTCATTCCAGTTCCATAACATGTGTGAAAACAAGGTGGTATTATTATAAAAGGCATATTATAACTCATTTAAAGCATTTATGGTTAACTTTTTCATATATGCTTCATCTCCAGTAACTAATTTTAAAAAAAAATGTCTCTTTTTTCCTGCAGAAGCAAATCAGGCACAGAAAAATGGTTAAGGAAGGTATTGCCAACTGATGCAGAATCTGAGTAGTGATCTCAAACTGGCAATTTTATGTGGCCTGTGAAGATATTTCAATTGTATATTTGTTGCAGATTATGAATTTGTTTCAAAGATTTCATTATTTTAATTATTTCAAGTCTAAGTTTTTATGTTATTTTCATGTGCATTAAAAACTCATGTGAATAATGCATCAGAAACTCTATAAATAGAGCTAACCAATTTACAGTGTGATATATTAAAAGATCTGAAGATAATAAATTTTATTAACCTTTAGTCATACTTGTAAAAAAATAAATATGTTCATTTACAATTTTTTTGCACTCAGGATAATCGCTTTGTTCAGGAATACGTTTATATCTAAACAACCTTTTTTCTGCATTTGAAATTTAAGAAGAAAACCAGATTCATTCATGAGCATCCACAATCCATTTTAAAGATAATTTATAGTAATTTCTGTCCAAGGCTACAAACTTTATCAAACTCGAAACACCATCAAATCTCAGGCTTTAGTACTAAATAAGAGGAGTTTATAATTGTGTATTTTTATTGATGCACTGAAGAAGAATTTAATAAATAAGAGAAAGAGACTAATTTATCATTAATTTTTCTTAAGTTCTGTCCTGCTTGGGAAAATATTCTCTATAAAGGTTTTCATAATTTCTATTTCAATTAAAGTAAGTTATTTAATGATTAATTAAACATGTTAGAACTATTTTAAATAAATATCAGTGTGAAAATTTAATATTTAGCTATCAGCATATTTATATTACAAAGTGTAACCAATAAGGATATCTTGCAGGTACTAAACTTTAATTTTAGATTGAAAATAAATATAAGTTTGAATTTTTTCATTTGCCATTATTATTATTGTTTATGTATGCTTAAAAAATACTTAGAGAAATTTAAAATTTATTTAAAATATTTTTTTTTATTTTGTTGCTAAAATTTTTTTAATTTTGTTTGTAAGGTTCCTTTAGGTTAACTAGTTATTTTATGTTTTGGATCTCGCCAGAATGCATGAAGTGTTTAGAATGTAAGACAGAGTGTATTCTGCCTCTCAAGGCCATGTTATTAGGCTGCTAGATCAGATAAGATTTGCAGTCTTCATTCTTGCATTATATTTGCCAATATTGAATCTCTGCAGTGGCAAGATAAGTGAGCCAACTTTGCATTAAATTGATTTGTATAGCCTTTGGCTACTAGCTTA